GGGTGTTCATTTCCGGGCTCCGGGTGTGCCATGGTCAACGCGCAGCCATCGCTCCTCCCACACGACCTGCCGGACGGGTCGCACCTCCAGGAAGGCCACCTCGCCGGTGTGCTGGATCTGGCGCGATGCAGTTCGATGGAGTGAGACACGGGGCCATACATGGAGAAGGGTTTACATGATGACCTGGCATCTCTTTCAAAGTAATAGTTCTAGAATAGGGTTGATGTGCACGTGACTTCTTAAAAATGTCTTCAACGAAGTGGGTCAAAAAGTGTTAAGAACAACACGTAGAATCTACTTGTAACATGTTAGAAGCATTGCATACATCTCCAACAAGTCCAATGTTTCAAGGGCCTTCCTTCACTTGTCCGTCTATTTCCAAGTAGAAGGGCACAACTGCTGCTTGACTGACCGCCTCTGAGGCCACCCTTCTTTGCCCTTTTTGTTGGCGCATCTACCGCAAAACACGCACTCACACACACTCACACACACCCCTCCCTTTCCCCTCCGAACCTCACCATCGAAACATGTCGGGATCCCAACGGCCCAACGGACACCCATGGACACTCTCCACTCGGCTCTAACGACAAGACATCGATCCCAAAAACAACCGGCCGCAATTGGGGTGGTGTCAATGTAGGGGTCTTTCTGCGGCAGTCCCATGCCAGTCCCATTGGTCGTGTTTGGGAAGTGACTTACCCGAAAGATGTTCAAAGCATGGCAACACATGCGAAGATCGGTGGAGAAGGTCCGACCGCTGCAATGGAGGGCGGATTCCTGCTCCAACGGTCCACTAAAGCCGACCCGATCTGATGCGCCTCGGCCAGCAGCCGCTCCTCACGAGGTCGGCATATGCACGTGGTCAGTGAGCTCTTAAAAGAATGTTTGGAACTGTTTACTGTCTGTTGCAGATCCAACTGTTATATAGCTCGGACTCCAACTGCTGCAATATATCTTCTGTGCCCAAATTGGCCATTCACCGTCATTCACACCCCCCCGAGCTGTTTGCTCCGAGGTCAACCCAGGTCAACCCCCCACCGTCAACCTCGCCCGACACGGGCGGGCGTCGCTCCAACGGGCGGTCGCTCCTGCTCGGCCACGCGCTGGGCCTCCTTGACACTTCGAAAGTGCAGCTTCTCGTCGTCGGACTCGCTGCCTCGTCCGTCGGACTACGGCTCGGTTTCGGGTCCGTTCAGAAGAGGAAGAGTCGGAAGAGATGGGGGTGCCACTCAAAAGGGTCCGCGAGATGACAGGCGCCTTTGATTCAGTTAATCGAATTGTTTAGCTAGGGTGTATCCTATTTCCCTGTAATAGTGGATAGTGTTGTTTAGCTGAGTGAATCAAGATCCTTGTCGAGGGGATCTATCTAGGTCGACTTGACCCCAAGGTGGAGATTCTGTGAAAGGGGCTTAAATCAATCAAGATGCATCCGGGTCGAGAAGCCAGGTAAGTTTAGTGATGCGGAGCTTGACGCCAAACATGACCTATTGTTTTGATTGGAAAAAGTAAACAACATGTTTGGGAGCTCTGGGTGTATGATATAATAATTAACTAATTATCATGGATATGTGGGGAGAGGTTCTCGCAAAAAATGATTTGGACACGGACCACCACCTTATCTGCGGACACAACAAAAGGATACAAAAAGGACAATGTCAAGATTATCTTCCAGCAGGTTCTATGTTGCAAGGGAAACGGTTGCTAGGTCTAAGTCTTTCTTAATTTGTACGTGGACCCTCCAAAGTACCTTAGAATGGGACATGAGCCCCAACGAAAAACATTGTACTCGTTTTTTTACAGGAGGTACAAACGGAGACTCCATGGGCCAAGGCACACCTCAGGTCGTTTCAAGTCTGTGACCTGAACCAGCAGTTCTAGGACTTCTAGTCGCTGGCACTACCTTCGAAAAGGTCTGCCGGAGTCTACCTTCTCTCCAAGATCTTGAGAGCACAAAAGCCCTCCAGCCAAACCTCAACTGGAAGTATAGCCGAGACCCCCAATTGAAGGAGGCTCCCTTTCGTCCCCCTTTTCTGGATATCAGTGGATACTTGCCTATCACTTCAATTCGCTCAAGTTCCGGGATTGGTCCAGGAAACGGGATTGGTCCGGGGGTTCGGGGATTCCACCACGGAAGGTAACAGATCCACCCAATCTGCACCAGGTACAGGACCCATCCGCCATGTGTCGACGAGCTGCTCTGCGCATCCTCTGCTGTGCCAGGTGCCGCAACAAAGACGCTGGAGGGCCAGGCCCTTGCGTTTCGAAACGCTCTGCGGCGAGGCCCTTGGGTCATCACAGGCACGTGTGACCGATTGACCTACCTGGTGTTTCTTTCGTTCGCTACATGGTGGATCAGTGATCCAGGTTTTGACCCATCCCCATGTAGACTCTTGATGAACACAGCCCCACAATCAACAACATAGCAGAGGGTCGATACCCTGCCTGCAACAAACATGGAAGTGAACACCCTGTTTGGTCTTCGGCTTTCATGGTCTTTCCATGGGCAATCCACTTCCATGAGGGCGTTGCAGGATCAGGTTGTCCTGGAATAAACACCACCTTCCAACAACTTTCAAGTACTTACACAATCTTACACATCTATGCTCTGCAATCCAGAACTCCTTGGTGGACATGCAGCTTCTAGATCAGCTGACAGCCGACATCGCTGTGAAGGAGAACAAACCATTGAAGCTCAGCAAAAGTATGAGTGGTTAGTTGCCATCTAGCCAAAACAGTGTCAGGGGGATGAGTTGACATCCCAAATGATTCACGTCTTTTAAGCCTTCACACAGTCTATGTCTTTTCAGCGGAGAAACTCCCGCGGAGTAGCTCGAGTGATCAAAACGCAGGAAGAAGAGGGCGCTGCTTGGTTTTGAAAGCCGTAGCAGGAAGTAAGTCATCATCCGTGACTTACTTGACCCATGGGCACCTGCAAACACACACAGCCTATTAGCTAATCACCAAATATCAATGGACTTATTAGTCGCGTGGCCACCATTGCATCTCATCACGAATGCCAACAGGTGATGGACAATTCCTGCCACCAGAAGCCCCACAACACTGTAAATACCCATAAGACCCCCAAAAGCACCCCAACTGATCGGCATATATGGCCGTCCCATTGGTCGTGTCTGGGTAAATGTATTACATACAAACCACAAAGGACCGTTTTTTCGGCACCTCGTGCTCAGTAGGCGATCCGCTGGCACTCTCAGCGGCACCTGGCGAGGACTTCGTTGGGTTTTCGACGCTTCTTCGGTCCCAAACGAGTTCGGGCGGCGGTTCATCGCCGCGAACTCGGACGGTGGGGACCGGGTCGGACCGAGTGTTCGCGTTTCGAATGAGGTTCCAGCATAGCCTTGAAACAGAGCGATTTGACCCAATGGGATCCATGAAATCAGATTATATAAATCAATGGTAGGTTCCCCCTGAGATGTCTGATCGGCATAGGGGTGGAAACAAATATGCGTGTACTAAATAACTGTTTGATTTGTTGTGGGCCGTGTCTTGATTTAAGCGGTGAAATAAAGTTGCATCAAAACATGCCGGGGGGATGCAAGGGGCACCGAGTAGGAGTGCACTATAGGTTTTGACCAAGTTTGCTTCACCGCTTGCCCAAGTGTTGAGGCAACAAAGATCAACAAAGTATATATATATATAAGTTCGAAGACACTTCGGTCTGCGCTGCCACTGCCCCTCCTTGATGTCGTTCTTTGGCAGAAACGTAGATTCAAATCACGACAGACTATCCTGGGTGGATAGGGAGGACTGGACTGGTTAAAACCGTTGAAACTTGAATATTAACGTTTTAAACTCGACTCCCCTTAATGTATTGGCACCTCAGAGCCCAACAAACAAAACACAATAATATCAATCAATGTGTTGTCATATGCCATCCGGTGCGACGTCCCGTTTTGTTTCTATCAATAACACATGGATGTGTTTTGAGAAACAACCCGTATCGCATCACCCCCAATGTCTGCTTGACCACATCGCCGACGATCCGGCGACTATGCCGGCGCCGGGGCGCACAGTAGGAAACCTGATCGAAGAAGTTGCCTGACACTGCGAGGGGTGGGGATCGGGGCTTTGGTTTGAAGAACCACCTTCCTGACATTCCATGCAACTGTCACATTTAGCTACACTGGGATAGGCTTACTTGGTCCATGTCCATGTGCACAAAGGTGGCCTCTTTGTATTCCACGCAACCAGAACCAACCAGTCAAAGCTGTGTGGCTGAGTAGCAAAAAAAAAACACCAAAACACACCCGCAAGCGGGACAGAGGCAAAGGCAACTTGGCCAATGCTGAGAAGCAACAATAAAAATACAAAACACAAACAAAAACAACAACAGCAGCAACAACAACAGCATGGTTGGGGCCCTCCAACCGTTTTTGATCTATTTTTACTTCCAGAGGTGATGTCTCCGTGACTTAAAACACACCCATCTCAGGGGGGTCAGTTAGGAGAATTGGAACTGATATCTAACTTTGTTGTGTTGCAAGGTTTTAACATGCGGAATGGCAGGTGACAAAACCAGATACTGATCCGAAGGTCGATATGGAATACCCAAATTTGCCTCATCATATATCATATCCGCAAATGATTGAGGGGGATGCTATGAACCACAAACAAATGATTGAGGGGGATGCTATGAACCACAAACCAGGTACGAACATGTAAAGGTTGTAGTCTTCAGGAGATAAGTGGCTCTAGGCACCTTGGAAGAACATGTTTCCTCCTATCCAAGGCTTGTTAATTTTGCTTTGTCTTGTTGTTGAACATCTGAGTACTTTCTTCTTACCACACATATGTTTGAAAAGAGTAAACCATTAAGGCTATACTATCTATCTAGTCTAACTACCTATACCTATCTATCTATCTATCTAACTATCTATCTATATGCTTGTTCCACCCCATCCCCAAACCAAAAAACGGCTGTAAAAAATAAACGCCATTCCCTTTGCCTACGGATGCTCCAGCAGGGAGGCGGCCAACGGCCCGGCACAGCTTCTCACGCTCCGGAAAGCAGTCCGGAGGGTCGCTCAGCCTCGGCCCCGAGCGCCCCTCAGATCCGGAGGGTGGTGCAGGTTAATGTTGTTTTCAGAAAGAAGTTTCCAGCTCGTTTTGAAAGAACATGACTGCCACAGTCTTTTGGCTGAAAAACTTTGTTTCCATGTTGGTTTCTAGGATGAATGACATGCGGAAACCCATGTTTGGGTGCAAACATGAATGTGGAAAATGGGATCACCTTTGACATTGACACCAGCACACTCTTCCAAACACATGTGAGATGCATGGCTATTGCAAAAGCCTTAGAATGACAAAAGAAGGTTGGGAATGAACATGCTACGTACGAAAAGAGAGGACCTTGCAGCCCAGTTTACAGTTAGCTGGCTTCGCCTAAGGTGATTCCAGTGAAACTGTGGCATCAATGTCCAAAAGGGTTGCTGGCAATCAGGTGCGTGGCATGGATAGCCAAGCTCACAAGTCAATGCAATTCCGATATCACTCTGAACGTATCACATAGTCAAGAGATGGAAAACAAAAATCATCGACTGGGGGGATGGGGAATGCTCAATCAACTGGGAGCAGATGGAGAAGATAGCCAAGGTTTGATTGTAGATGGCCAATTATATCCAACTATACTTGGACCCGCATTCAGGCTCACATTTCTGCCTGTTCAAGAAAACCGGACTAAACCAGGGTATGTCCTCAAAAACTGCCTGCGGGCAGAAATCGTTTTTTCGGGCAAATGTTGCAGATTAGTTGCAAAACGCCTAAGTTCCAAATCTGCAGTTGCAAAGCAATTTTCCACATTTCAACGTGATTCGGGCGTGAACTTTTGTGATCGGGCGAGAATTCGTGTGATTGAGTGGGTATTAAAGACTCAAGCTGCACTGCGTCTATTCAGCATCACTCGCAGAACATATCGATCATGAGCGAGAATTCGGGCGAGAATTCCAGGAATTCCAGGGTTGGGCGTGAAAACCATGTTCTGGCAGAAATACGAATGGATTCGGGCTGGAATTCTATAGCCTAGAAGACTAGAAAAGTTCCCCCAGTCGTCGTCGATGGAAGACAACCGGCCGAACAGCGCCATTTTGTGCTAAACAATGATGGTACCGTTGCGCTGCAGGCTCTGCGAAAAAAAGGACAGCGGCACTCAATGACAGTAGTAAACCCCCAAAAAACAGTGTTCGTCGCAACTTTTTGCGCACAATGTCCATGCGGAGTGCTTGCAAAGTATTGACCTAAGCCTGTACCCTACTGCATGGTCGTATGAATTCAATTGAATTCAAGTTGGCATGATGAAGCAGGCAGCAAGTGCGTGATCGCTGACACAAAGGAAGACACTGTTGGATGCACGAAGAAGAGGTTTTGCCCAGATCGTTTGCTGCTGGAATGAGCTTTGCTGATAGTTTCGACCTCCATGCATGCTTCCAATTTCGACACGGGTTTCCCTTCTGGAAACCATGCACCTTGGATGAGGAAGCGGTTGAGGAACTTGTTACTTGTTGCCAAAACATTCACTGCCGCCATTCTCAAGCTAAGAAGATTTGTCCATGCATGTTTGTTTCTACGCAGTCCTTCCAAAGACCTTTCAGAGCATTTGATGTAGCACGACCAAGAAGGATAGCAACAGAAAGGGTGTTCTCTTGCAAGAACTTTGAAGTTTATCATTCGGAACGTTCAAACCTGAAGCCGGCCTGTTCCAAGAGTCATTTCACTAAACCTTTCGATGTCCTTGTGCTTCTTTTGTGCACCCAGCATTGCGAGGATCGGCCGGGACCTCATCACGCTTGCCAGGTGCAACGTGTAGTGCCATTCACGGAACTCCAATTCATGCCACCTTCCAACCATGCCACAACACACAGCCTCTTCAATTGGACTATCCAAGTGAATCCCCTACTGTAAACCTGGCCTACTCCCCTTTCCCGCCATTGCTTGGGTAGTTTCCAACCTTCTGAGAAGGTAGGTGTTGTTGACGCCCAAATTCGGTTTAGATGTTTAATTGCCCGCCGAAGGAGCGCTGCGAAGGACTCGCTTGGAACTTCCAGGTCGTGGTAAGCTTCTTGGCCATCCTCGTCTTCGACCAGCCTTTCCGCATCGGTTCAGAAGTGCTTGGTGTTTTTTGTGTGCTGGACAACGAGAATCGAGCCGTTCCGTTTCCCTCAAAAACACCATTTAACTAAACTGTCCATACTTGGATTTTAGGTTGGAAATGAGTCCCCTAAATCGTTTAACAGGTATCCCCTTTTTCTGGGTGGGACAGGAAGCAGGCGTCCTGAATCACTTGCATCTCTAAGCCACCAAGTCCTGCCAAGTCCTAGCATTTGCATTTAAGAACAATATGACGGGTCTAAACCTGGAGCTCCGAACCGTTGCTAGGATGCCGCATCCGCAGCCAACCCAGGCGAGCGAAGGTGCTAAAAGGCGCGTTCCAGGCGCTGAAGGAAGGAATCCAGCACCGGAGGATCCATGAATCCGAACATTTAGGTGTGCAGAATAAGGAGACCCTCCTGGGGAACCCCTGGATCCCTGTTAATATGCACACCCCTGGATCCATGCTTTCCACTTCCAGCAGCAACAAGAACCTTCAGAGTCTAGTGTTGCTTGGCACCTCGCAAGTGACGCCTAATTAGGTCTATCTCTAGTGTTGCTTGGCTGCATTTGTGTTGCTTTGTTGGGTTTTGTTGGGGTTGCTGAGCTGTGGTTGTGGTGGGCTGGGAGTAGAACCTTTTTGACAAAACCATCGGAACTTGTTTGAGGCCTCTCCCCCCCCACAGACGTGACCTGCGCAATCTCTGAACTGATTCATGCGTGACCTGTTCTTGCAAACCACTGTCTTTCCTTCGGTGGTGATAAACCTGCGAGTGACAAACACATTTGTTGGACAGTTCCAGACTGGCAAAGCACTTGGGAACACCTGGAGAGATGACTGTACCGACTTCAGACAAGAAGGATCGAAGAGATTGCAACAAACAATTTCTGGAAAAAAAGGTAAAGGCCACGAGGATGAACAATTTGAAGAACAACAAACAACAGTAACACAACTTGCTGGAAGATTAGGACATGATGAACATTTATTGAAGAGTAAACAACACATAACTTTTGGCAAGAAATCAGCAAAGTGAACAAGAACAAATTGAAGAAACTAGATAAAAGAGACAAGACTGCAAGCAACTTTTAGGAACAATACGCTGGAGAGACGACTGCGATCATTTGTTGGGGAAATCTATTCGGGATGCGAGGATAACACAAGAGCAAAAACAATTTCAAGGACACGAGGCGTGTGATCTTCTGGTCATCTTATATCATCTTCAGCACAATCAGAGCATTGCACTTGTGCAAATCCAAATGAGCGGCATTTATACACTACTAAACTCAAATACATGATCTAATTATGTGGGGCCCCCATCTCGTTTAGACTACTTCAGTAGGAGCTCATGTCACAGTATCTCATTCAGACTACTTTAGTTTTATCAAACGAAGTTTCTCGCCTCTGTGGGGGCTCTCGTTCACCAACGAAGACTGGTGGACAAAGAAGCAGAGCATGATTGTTGCTCAAAGAGCGCTCTCCAAGGCACACCCAGCGGAGGCACACAAATGGGGTCGTCTCCTACCCCCCAGTTGGGGACCCGACTCCCTCAGTTTTCCCGGGAAATCCCTGGAAAAGAAGGGCGGCAAATCCTGTTTCACCTGCCCTTGCTGATTGAAGAAACCACAAAAAAAAACAAAGTGAGTCGGTGCAGGTTTAACCTCCACTGACTCACTGAAGGACGGAAGTACATTACATATGAACCCTATACCGGTCTGAGCACGTACGCTCTCAAAGCTCATCGATGCTGACTCCGTTGATCTCGTGGGAAATTTTTGGCACATCCACCAGCTGAGAGGTGGAGAGAGCAAGGCCTCGCATCTGACTGGTGTCTGTATCGTGAAACTGGATCGTTTACACTCCCAAAAAACTAACATGGAAGTGGAAAACCACCTGTTTGTAGTGGAAAATGGTCTTCCAAGGGGCCATTCTCCACTTCCATGTTAGTTCCAGGGAGTGCAATTGCTGTTTCAAATGAGATAGATTCAATTAGCTGCTAGCTTTGATCCAGCCAAGAATCGACCCGCCATCAATGCTCTTGGCCCTGAGTTTTGACCCGGGTTCTGGGTCCCCCTCAACAGAGCAGGAGCACTGAAAAGTGTAGTACAAACCCGACCAGCACGTACAAAAGTAGTTTCCTTCGCGACGGCTCTACCAGTAATCGACAGCTGGAGAACGCTCTTGGTTTCTCAACGTGCTGCTGTTTAGCAATCAGTCATTCATCATTCCCGGCAAAGTCGTCATTTTCATGTTCTTTCCCCAATCAAAGATTGATCGTCATGTGTCGTACAGCTCTTGCATTGCTTGAAAGACATCGGCCAGGCTCGTCTTGCTACGTGCTTGAGTTTCCTTCTGCCATGACGAATGTCGTGCCTCCAGGCCTTCGGTGCCGCTATACCAGTGCCAGGGAACGTTCGAAAGATGCCTATCCAAAAAGAAGGCAGCCACAGCTTTTTGCTTTGCAGGCGCCCAAAAACCCTTGAAGAACCTCTGCGTTACATCAAGATTGCCACAAACAAACTATCTCGGGACCCCAAACAGTGTGTGTGTGAGGTTTACTAGCCAAAAAGTCTAGAGATCTAGAGGCATTGGGGTTCAGAGAGGTGATGGTGGTGATGAAGGTGCGTGGGGATCGTGGTGACGGCGGTGGTGGCGGTGAGTGAGTGAGTGTGAGTGTGAGTGTGAATGTCAATGTGAGTGTGGTGTGAATGTGAGTGAGTGATGAGCGAGTGTGAGTGTGAGCGTGTGTGATTGAGTGAGAGTGAGAGTGATCGAGAGAGTCAGAGAGTGAGCACGAAATCTGCACTTCGAGGTTCACAAAGTACTGCGCCTGCCCCGAAATCTGCACCAAAAGAGGACTGAACGCAGCGCCAAACAACCACTTAGGTTAACATCAGCTGAACTGGATGAGTCCAAAGAAACTGGTCTGTTTCCAATTGAGTTAGAGAGTGTAGTTCTTAACACACCCCTCGGTCCACTGCAAGCTCCCTTGGGGGATCACTTTCCCTCTTCATCGCTTGTGGCGTATTCTGGATTGGCTTCTGATGAAGATGAAGAGGGTGTTCCCGGCGATTTCACCGGTCGCGGCGGCAATGTCTCGCCTTCTCAAACAACGCACGCGGCTTTCAGCCTACTACTTGCAACAGTGCACTTCTTGCCTTGCGAGTGGTCCATTTCACTCCATGAGGTCATTAGGTCTTGCGCCCATTGAAGCTGCGTGCCGAGCGATTCTCGCTTGTGGGGGTACACCTTGTCAATTGTATTCAAGAAGCCAGCGCTTGCAAGGGGAACCTGCGCGCGCAAACCTATATATATACATATACAGATCTCCACACAGTGAGTAATGCCTTCAACTGGCTCAGCTGGGCAACAATCCCAGCTTTCATTTCTTGAGCTAAATCCAGCCTTGGTTGATCTGTTCACAATCAGAAGTTCGACGTATATGAAACTCACAAAGTATCTAGTAGATCATATACCATGGTCTCCCTTTGTCAAGTCCATACACATCACGAACGCGGCCAATTGCTGGCACAGCTTGTCGAATCTGACATTGTCAAGCCAAACGTACCACGAGGTGCACGGTGGCAGTGGACGATGAACGCACCGCCCAGGCTTCGGGTGGGATTCACTTTGTGGAGAGTCCTCTGAGCCAACCTGTGACGACAAATACGTTTGATAATGTTCTATATGCTTTTTTTTGTAGGCCTTGGACTCTTCCTCCAAGACTTTGTACATCTTGTTTTCAGCTTCCAGCTGCGTATCAAATCTGCCGATGTACTTTCTCTTTTGCTTTCCGATGCCTTGTCACAACCACTTGGGGGGGGGGGAAGCGCGATCAGGCTCGAAATGTGGCCCTTACTTAGGCGCACATTCCACTTATTTGCATTTTTGCCCGCGCAACACCAGGCACCTCTGACTTGGGGCCATCAGTTTTCTTTGCTCCGCGTGGCATGACAAAAAAAGTCAACCACAAGATGACGGCCGAGGGCAAATATACAATATTTCAAACCTTTCAGGAGCTCTGATGTCATGCGCATATCATCTACCATTTCAATCTTTAGGAGCTCTGATATTAAACAACATTTCTTGTCCAGCTTAATGAGATTCCGAACAGGGAGGTAGAGTGGACTTGCAAAGCTGCCCAACGAACTCTTTGCAATGACCTAGGAAGCGGAAGCTAATCATCTCTGTGTACCTGCTTCTACAATTATCGATTTCTGTTCTCACCTTTCAGCCAGCCACCAAGCTAGCCTTTTAGTTAAAAAAAGACCTTCCAGTCGTCTGCGCTTGGTGGTGTAGCTTCGACCTATCTAAAGACATTCACAATCTAGAGATCCTCACAATCTAGAGACTCTCATAATCTAGAGACCATCACAATCTAGAGACCCTCACAATATAGAGGCTCTCATAATCTAGACCTCCTCACAATCTGGAGCGTGTGCAAGAACCCTGTTACATATAGGAGTCAAGGATGCCTGTCATCGCAGGCGCAAAGTCTCAAGGCCAGACAGCTAACAGCGGGCTGCCTGCGCGCATATGTGCAAGAAACCTGTTACATCTAGGAGTCAAGGGTGACTGCCTGCCATCACAGGCGCAAAGTCTCAAGGCCAGACAACCAACAGCGGGCTGCCCGGGCGCATACGTACAAGAAACCTGTTACGTCTAGGAGTCAAGAATGCCTGCCATCGCAGCCGCAAAGTCTTAAGGCCAGACAGCCAACAGCGGGCTGCCTGCGCGCATACGTGCAATTCACCAAGTGCTGTGCCTGCCACGAAATCCGCACTTC